CAAACAGGGAGGCAGGGTATCTTAGGAAGAATGGTCAGACCTCAATAACTAGTGTTACTAATGGGGTCTATACTTGTCAGTATACTAATTCAACTGGTGGTGTCTCTTATGCTTCGTTTGCTGTGTTTCTAAGGGCCAGAGAGCCTTCTTCTGGCTCTAGTAATACTAGTAAGGAATCACATTCTTTCTCATGAACCTGATGTGTGAAGAGTATTATGATTGATTCATAAATATAGATTGATATGTGTACTCTTACTATACCAAAATTTCGCTGAAATTATTGAGGTTTTTGCAAGTTATACATGTAGTTTGCAGTGATATCAGTGACTAGGTGCAGAGTAAATTAAACCATCAGTTCATGTTATCATATTCAGCATGCATCTAAAATTTTCTAAATTAAATTCCTAAAATTATTTCACTATCTCATAAGTTGTGCTTAATTATAGTATGGCAACTACTTGATTAAAATTTGGTAATAATTCTTTTAGAAAAGTATTGTCAAGTAGAATCTATTTTTATTCTTATTTTTATTCAGACTTGAATCTATTCAGTTCTGTATTTTTTTGTGTGTGTGTAGCAAGTGTACATACTGCATAGTTTTGATTACTTCTCTACTTTTCTTTTATTTTCTTTAACCATCTTCCTCTTTCTTATAGCTTTTCTTTCAGTCCAGTCAATAGAATACAGCACTAATAATGAGTCAATCATAGTTACTTGTGTAACCACAGGATGGCCAGCAACTCAAGTAGTATGGAAACACAACAATGTCCAGCTATCCCCTGGCAGTGGATTCACAATGAACCAAAGAGTAATGGACAGGGAGCAGTGTACATACAAGAATGACCTCATTGTTGAGAATTCTGTGAATCGTATTGGCATGTACAGATGTGAGGTTAAATCATTACGTCATAACAATGTTACCATAGATACCACGGTTGGATCCGTGACTGTACAAGCAGCGGGTAACATACGAGTTGCCGTGACGACCCTAGGATCGCAAGAAGTTGGTGAATCCTTCACTCTAAACTGCACTGTTAATAAGATTAATAATGTCTCACTGGGTATACGATGGATGAAAAATAATGTGACTATAGTCTCTGATATTAGTAAAGGAGTGATGCTTGGTAGTATTGGAGAGGACTCTGATTCTGTTAGTAGGTTACTTACTTTGAGTCCTATTAGACTATCACACTCTGGCCAGTACTCGTGTGATGCTATCAATGGAAGTGCTGTTGATGGTAGAGCCACTATTAGAGTGGATATTGATGGTAGGTATAAGTTGATAATTGTTTTTGTTTTATTTCCTATTTTAATTGCTAATTAATGTTTATTTTGAGCTACTCCTGTACATTTACACAATGTATCTCCCCTTTCTAATGTTGTTTTTCTTCCCTTTTTTGTCTCTATTTTTTCTTCTTATACATTTATTATTTTTCTCAACCATTCCCATTCTTCCCTCCCTCTCTCTCTCAGCTCCCAACTTGCCCCTCTCATTAGACCCCAGTCCTGATTTATCCCTAACATTAGGAGAGGAGTGCACATTAATGTGCTCAGCACTACTACCAGAATCACTGAGTCCAACTATTGCATCAATAACCTGGTACAAGGACTTATCTCCTTTCACTGGTAGTGGTGTCACAACTAATCTAGCTGAGGGAACTTCTAATCTTAATCTTGGTATGGTCCTCTCTGAAGAGGCTGGTAATTATACTTGTGTGGCTAATGTTTCATCTCCGTTCATTGATACTGGGTATAATCTCATTGTGTCTAATACAACGCTAGTCACTGTGTTAAGTAAGTGTCGATGACCATCTACATGTACATGTACATATGTATATCACAAGGTATAACATGTACATGTATGTAGAGAAATAAGAGAGAAGGCAATTTTGTAATTAGAGAGAGAGAAAGGGAAGAGAGAATAAGAAAGAAGAATCCATAGCTTTTTGTAGCTGTAAAAGAATTAAAGTGTAAGTATTAATAATGTGTACATGTACATGTACATGTACATATTGTTTTTATTTGATGTGACTGTACATGTACAACTATGATGAGA